AAAAACATCTGGTATGTTAGCGGTGGTATTCCACCATTCGTACTAATGACGGTGCGCGGGTCCCATAGCGTATGCGAGACCTTTTCCACAGCCTCAATGCCTAGTTCGCTGCACAAGGCTCGCACCGAGTCATCACGCCGATTCCAAATTGGTTCACAATCTTGTTCGAAACAGATCTTATTCAGCTGATAGTGCTCATTCAAGCGTCGAAAAATAGCCGTAGGGTTGCCTTGAAACAGATACAGTTTACCCAACTCGCCACCAGTATTGCCTAGAGCCTGCAGTTGACTATTTATGTCGGCCAAAGAGTTTAATAAGAAACGCATGCGATTGTAGCCAACCGTTTTAGTGCCTGGAAAAGGATGAAAATATAGTTTTATGAAGTATTTTAATCGAATTTGCTTTTTTCAACTGGTTGATATGTAAAGTGGCCTCTTTAATAGTTTAGTTCAAACCCCATGGAGCGTCTCTCGAAAACAATACGTAGGGTACTCTAGGGCCTCTGAGTATGCAGCTACATTTGCTTGGCTATAATTCGTCCTGCACACTAGGCATTTCGGGAGCAACCCATAAGTGAGATGCGCTAACCAACGCGTGTGGAACGTTGGCTCTCGATAGAGAGTGAGAGATCTTTGGTGTGACCACTTCGACTTATTCAGTTTAAGGGCTCACTGAAGTCTGCAGCGGCTGGCCTTGTAGGAGCACGCGGCTCTCGATATAAATGCAATGCATATTTTGTATGTGTCCAGTATCTGGTTTGGGACCCACCACGTCGTGAAATAAACTGCCAATGAAAACGAAAATAAAGTCACATATGTATGTGATCCTCTTCCATCGACAATTGCGGAAAAGGTTTAAAGAACAATGCTTTAAAGGTACATATACAACTGAAATGTCTGATACCCTTGGAAAGACTATGTGGAGACATCATCGCCATCCAAGAGATGTGATCAAGTGACAAGTCAAGAAAAACTTGGGGTTGTTCAATCTTTATGCCTGATTTGTGGTAGCAGAGAGATTCCGTCATTGAAAAATTTTGTTTAGCCTGCTGAACGAGTTGCTCGCCACATATTCGTGTAGGAACAAGAACGATGACCTAGTGACCGATGCCCAGAAAGTGCTTAAATTACGGGGAAGATGAACCCCAGTCGAGGACGATGAAGTTTACTGCAAACTGTCAATTTGATATAATACGGAACAGTTATCGCAGAGAGAGAATTTTGATAGGTGGGTATCAGAGATCTGTTGCGGTGTATCGCATTTTCGAATACACCGCAACGACATTTATTTACTGTACCACTCAAACTCAATAATACTTAGTGACGAAGTCTACCGCCACCCGCAATCACCGCAAGCTCAAATAATGTCGAGGTTTGAGTGTTTTGTGCTCGATCAAAGCGTCGTTACTGCCAAAAGTTTTAAGAACTGTCACAGCAGACGATAAGCAAAAAAGCTATCGACACATTTACAGCATGGGTCGTTGAAGATTGCCGCCCATTTTCAGTTATTAATGGGTCAGGCTTC